ATAAAATCAAAACAGATAAAATCAGAAATAGATAAGATCAGTAGTTAGTGTAAGTTTTGAAATTTAAGCTTAAAAAAGCTTAAAAAAGCTTATATAGAGGCCCTCAGGCCTCTATAAAAGCTTAAAATTTTAAGCTTGTAGATGGCCTTAGCCAGCTACACAGACCCTGGTGAGGCTCAGTTGGTGTCTTCTAGCAGCATAGGCCCAGGTGAGGTGTAAATAGCTTAGACCTACGGCAGAAGCCCTGGTCTGTTGTAGTTGTCCTCAGCCAGCAGCACAGGCCGTGATGTGTTGTAGATGGCCTCAGCAAGCAGCACAGCCCCTTTAGTGGTGTAGATGGCCTCAGCCAGCAGAACAGGCCCTCTTGTGGTCTAGATGACCTCAACCAATTTTCACACTTATCAGTGGCTCATAGCTACCTAACTAGTCCACTTTAAGCATGTTTCCTAATCTGTCACACTTATCAGTAACTCATAGGTATCTTACTAGTCCGCTTTATTCATGTTTCCTTATTTGTCACATTTTTCATTGGCTCATACATATCTGACTAGTCCACTTTATACTTGTTTCCTAATCTGTCACACTTATCAGTAACTCATAGGTATCTTACTAGTCCACTTTATTCACGTTTTCTTATCTGTCACACTTATCAGTGGCTCATAGGTATCTAACTATTCCACTTTATGCATGCTTAATTATCTTTCACACTTATAAGTAACTCATAGGTATCTAACTAGTCCTGAATATTCTGAATAAATGTGTGAGATGGCCCTCAGGCCTCTACGTCCAGGCTTTGGTGACTACTTGGATTGTCTTATTTAGAGCAATGTGTGTCACTTTGGTTAGTTGCTCAACTGAGGCTGATTTTGTTCAGTCTTTTGCTAACTGAACTTTGACATTGAAGCTAATTGAAGCGTGTAGAGTCTGAGATGTAGCTCTTTTTTTCTGTATTGTACAATCTGATTTAGGGATGAATTTACTGTGATTTCCACCCCTAGAAAGATTGTCAACTGTGTTGCATGTTTTGAATAATCTTCTTCAGAGTAGACTTCTGGTGTAAGCTAATAGGGAATGAAAAGAACTATAAAAAGCTGCTGTGGTTTTCATTTTCCAAGAGAGGTGTTATGTATTTAGCAATACATTGTTTAGTCACACTATTATTATTATGTTCTAAACAGAAGAACATCAAGTGTGATGTATGTGCGCATTGATCCACCTGTGCTTTTCCATGACATGTTTAATAAAAGTAAGTAACTTTCCACTTAAAGGGTTGTTGTGCCTAAGTAGCTAAGTTATAATGCTCCAAAGACACCTGTAAGCTATTGCCATTTATGTAAACAGAGAACTCGTGTACATTAAAGGTGGCGAATTATACAAGGCATAAAAGCAGCCTGATATCAGATATAAGTGTTACAGGGTAGCACAAAAGAGGAAAGAAATGTAAATCATGCCTATGTGTCTTGACTCAGCATGTGATGACAATGTATCAGAAAAGCTGAGAATAATTACTCTAAAGCAGGGGTCTCAAACTTAAATGAACTCTGGGCCAATGCTGGCACTGTCATCTCATTGGAGGGCCACTTTATGTTCAAGTAGTACAGTAGTGCATTTTGTATTTAACAAAATAAAAATACAGACATTAGTTCAATGAGAGAATCAAACACTAACACAGCCAATCCCTCAACATGTTTGTAATCTCTGCTCATATTGCCTTCATAATAAACTAGGGTGGCCATATTTTGACTTCCAAAAAAAGAGGACACTTGACCCAGTCAGGAAGAAATTTAATGATACTGTTTGTTTAAAGAAAATTTTAACATATTCAAACGATGCCTTCTCTCTGCGGTTAATGAATGGTGAAATAAAAAAAATGTCATATAGGCCTTTACAAGTCAACAAGTGCAAAATAGGAGGATGGTTGGACATCTTATAATAAGCTTTTCTTTTCTTTTTTTTGCTTTTTAAAGAACTTAATTTAAGATTGCACTCAACAAGGATCAAATCCTTCCTAACAAAAAAGTAACTTCAGGTAGTGTTTAACTAAAACACAGAATCTTTATTTGAAATAAAGTATGGGATTGTTTTGTAATTATCCAGGAAAACACCGACTTATCAGGGGTAGTGGCAGTATTGCCAGTTTAAAGACTGGTTCGTCTTAGCTGAAATAAATACATACGTCTGGGTAGTGCTACTGAATGAGTTGAGGTCTTCGGCTAATGAAAGCAGAGACTCTACAACAGTTGAAAAAGATTTCACCAAGGATGCAAGTTGCAAGCGCTCCCAATGCGTCACGTGAGCATGCGGGTGGGGCGGAAGTGAGGACCGTAGTCTTCCTGTTCCATCGGTCCCACCTTAGTTTGGACAGCTATGCGGATGAGTCTAGGTAGGATGAAACTCTGCTGGTGTAACTTTTTGTTTTGGCTTTTAGCGCTACAACCTCCGGTTGCCCGTTATCACTCGTGGCTTGCAATGCTTCTCTACGGAAGCGAGCTTTGCACGGCCTTTCTTGCATCTTTAACCCAGTTTGTGTTTCTAATGTATTAGCATACTTTCTGGTCACAGAGCTAACTGTTGACTTCTCTAAAGGCGCTAAAGAACATGTAATACTTGAAAAGCGTGAAGGGTGGTTTTTCAGACACTCCGAGTTGTTTTGTGGTATCTGGAGATTCCTCAAAGACTCCTGTAGCGATCACGACTAAAAAGAATTCGTCCACGAAAGGATTACAAATATTTGATTTCGTTTCCTAACTTAGGCTTTTGCTTCCGAATGAAAATAAAGATGGCAGCCCATCTGCCGCAAGAATAACATGGGAAATGGCATTTCAAAAACGTATTTTGCATGGATTGGATTGTTTGAAAAGGTCTTTTGGGAGTCTCCAAACAACCCCGATACGATAGAAAGTGCCTTTGAATAACATTCAGTAGTTTTCGAAAGTACCCGCTAAGTTTACTTTTAGGATAAACGGTGGTTAGCTCTGTTACCGCTGAGCTGCTATTGGAAACCAAAAAAAGGGGCACAAACTGACAACAAATATTCGTATTCTTTCTTTACTGCTGCTTTCGAACTTCTGTGTATATAAAAGTTGTTAGAATTCAGTCCTAAGCGAAACACGCAAATAGGCGACGTGAAATATGTATAGTGTGGTGTGTCACGTGACATGACAAAAATGAATGGCCAGACCCCTTCGGGTCAAAGTTCATTGACATGCAAACATGTGATAATTGTGTTTTTGCTGCAATCTCCATTACCCTCTATGTTGAAGGGTATTTGCACTGCTTTTAGTTCGTCTTAAGATCAGATGTCTCAAACTGCATAGCAGTGTAACCTCGAAAAGGAGCGCTAAAAACAACAGTACAATTTAATTCTCTTTAGCTTTATTTATGTAGTGAGTTTACAACAAGCTCAGAAGGCCTTTTGGTAAGGTCACTACATGCATAAGGAACCTTTCATGTAGTCTGTTGATGAATAAAGTCTAACCTGGGGTCCGTTCTTCGTACCTCGCTAAGTAAGTTAGCTGGATTTGATTGTTGACGATTTCGCGTGATCCTGGATCGTTCGGTTCCCCGAAGCTCATCCGGGACTTGCTGTCATATCAACAGATCCGTAAGCGTAAACCTGCTCGGGAGCAGGCTTGCTTTGTGTAAACAAGATTAGATCGCGGCCACTCAGGTATGTCCGCTTCATTTATACGAAAGCAACAGCGATATTTTACCACTGTTTTACCATAAATAAATATTATCAATGTAACTAAAGATAATGCAGTATTTGATTCTTTTATTGATTTCATAAAGATACATACAGGTCATTTCCTAAAAAAGGGGAAATGTACTATTAATCATTCTATTTCATGTATTTGATTATTTCAGATGTAATTCATATTTCAGAGTAGTAATAGTAAATTACTTCATGTAAGCAAGATGAGAGACCACGGCTATAAAAGCGAAGGTGGATTTGGGAAGTCTGTATACGCGAGCCACCCATTGCGGAAGGTGCAAGATTGATAAGGAGAGTTTTCAGAATTCAGCGTATATTGCGGGATAGACAGGATCCTTTAGCTCAGCGCGACAGTGTGCTCA